GAACAATATTTTTGTAAATGAGTTTATAGATATCAACGCCAAGGTTGAACTTGATAGTTTCAAATAAATTGAGCATTTGATAGAAAGGTAATAGTAAGTATAACTTTTTGTTTATTCCAATGAGTAGACATTTCGTGACTTAATGTAAACCACTTCTTTCGAGTAAATAAATAAACGAATTAAATTAACACACATCCGAATAGCACACATGTGTTAATTTAATTCGGTTATTTATTTCATTTGAAAAATTGGCTTACATTACCTCGCGAAACGTCAGCAATACAACTTTTCTACTCATTGGGACACAACAAAAAATGTATTTGCGATTAATATCTTGTAAGTTAAGATTGATACAAAAAACACAGATATTGTATATACTACAATGGTGGAGATTGTTAGACACCATGTATCCAACCGGCTATCAAAAACAATCCAGAAATAATGATTGTAATTCAGCATATCTTTTTCGTATTATTATTGTAAACAATTCTGAAACGGCAAAAATACTTGCTTGAACAGGATGAAATAAATCTCACACAATATATATCTAATAATTCATACTACTTATAAGTAACTAATATGTTTTGGCAAAATACTTGACCCGTATTTAATTGGTTGACTCAAAGCTAACTCCCATTTTCATTTAATATTTTCATCAGGATGCCTTCGTTCAAACTAAACTTGTCATTTCCTCTTTGTCTGTACTTTAAGTTGATATATGTGCTTTAAAAAACTATGAATAGCAAATTTCAATTCCAGAAAAAAATTGTCTAATTTATATTTAGCATCATTTTAGTATATTGAAGAAATTTCTCCTGAATTCTAGGTGTTGTATTTACTGAACTGGGTAATTTTCTAGAGAAGATTCGTTTTATTTCTCGCTGACGTCCGCGACCGCGCACTTGGGATGGGCGCTGCTTAGTTGCCCCACACTAGGACGAAACAGACGTTCACTTCCAGGTTCTCAATGGTGGTGTTGTGGTGTGTACTACTTATACTGACATAAGTAGTATATGATGTTAGTCGTGAACAGAAGATCTGGCAGCAGAGACAAGAGGATCGAATAGTAAAGAATGGAAACAGAATGCGATTTCTATGAAAATGCAAGAACGATGAAGTCTGAGTCATTTTGACAAAAGTGATGGACATTTGGCAAATTGAGCATTTTACTATATGATTGTTAGATTTTACTAACAAGTCCTGTAATTTTTGTGTCAAATACAATCGATTGTCCCCACTCGTCTTCTTGTTCGCTACAGTTTAACATGGGTTCGTGATTTTAGTGGAATTCAACGATCTGCAAAACCGCATATCGAAAATTGCATAATAATCTTTCTCATTTTAAGTTTGTGCCGATAATGTTGTCTAGAAAGAGAATAAAATTTCTGTAGTTAAATTATTTAGTTCAGAGAACAAAATATCTTTAAGATCCTCCTGATGAACTACGAATCTCTATCGTTATCTCACAGTTGTCTAAAAGACAACTAAAGTTATGTACAGTTACGTCTAAATTTTAGACGACGAGGCTGTCATACCAAAGCTCTTCAATGACTCCGTCATAAAAAGTTAACAAATAAGTTGTTTTTAAAGCGAATTTATTGATTTATATTGATGCTAGCTACTCACCTTTTTTTATTTGTTTAAAACGAACAATTACCATTGACTAACTCACTTATAAAACTACAATCTATTAGTTAGGTCATTTTGATTTGGTTACGAGAAAATATCCAGGTCTCTATGCGGCAGAATTCCCACATGTCGGTGTTAATTCAGTAGTATAGAGTCTAGTTTTTGTATGTAAAGTGATAAACGATCTTGTCTAGTAGACTTGTAATGGGAATCTTGTTCGTAAATTCCTTTAACTAATAACGTTGATTTATACACAAGCGGATTCCACTAAGCCACCTTTTTTGGCTTGGTTGCTCGTCAGCTTTTATTATAATCTTTAGGTTATCTTGGATCCCACAAAGTTCCTGGTCGGATTATATTTATATTCATAATATCGGATATATGGTATACAGAAAGTATTCTATGACCATTTAGAATTCATTTGTAATATTTAGAACATCGTTATTTTGGATTTATGCTGAATAAATATTTATTTGCTATTCCTATACTCTAAAGTTATCAACGTGTCACTTAAATTAGCCAAGATATTGTCAAATAAATTTAACAATCAATTAAAAATAATCACACTTATTTTGTTTAAGTTGGATAAGGAATGACAGTAGAAACCTAGACTTGTGTTTCATTTTATTTGGAGCTCGTCAACTAATATGCCAATTATATCCCAGTGTTGATGTTCACATTGAATAATCAGCACAAGATGAACAAATGCCAATAAAGACTGAGTGATTAAATTCTTGAACATCAAACAATGGGAATATACCAAACCCTTACAAACATGTTTACTTTACTTTCTATCTTGACTTTTCATATCATTTTTAAACAAAATGAACTGCTAACATCATTTCTGACAAGACTAAAGACGATTGAGGAATATATTTGCATCAATATAGATGGATAAATCTCTGACACGAATTATAAGCGAAATAAAGTTAAGTATTGGGGAAAACTTCATTTATTTTCTCAGCTCAGTACACGATTTGATGGTTCAAATAATAAGAAAGATAAGAACAGTAATAAGTGCACAAAAAATTACGAGAATAATTAATAAGCTGAAAAAAAGTATAAAATTTCATAACTTAACGTCAAGTTGTGGTGTGAGTTACTTATATTCATATAAGTAGTATATGACGATGGTCATATAGGAGTATTTCAGTAAAAGATCGAGAAGGAAAGAATGGGAACGGAACACAATTGGTATGAAAATGCATGAACAATGAAATCTAAGACAATGGACTGATATTTGCAAAAGGAACAGTCAAATTTAAAACGATGGATTAATATTTTGCAAATTAACTATTTACTATATGGTTCTCAGATTTTATTGAAATATTCATATCAAATACTTTCAGTTGTCCTCATTCGTGTTCTTGTTCACTACTAAGTAACAGAGAGAACTGATAAATCATGATTATTAGTTGTTGTTGTTTGTTTGTCTATTTTTTACTGTACGACAGTGGTTAACAATAGTGATCTGAATAAAAAGTGAAA